AAAATTCCTGTTCCTGAGCTCCGGATGGGGTTGGGTCGGGAACCTGAGTGTTCCTGTTCTGCGAGGGGGCTGTCCCTTGTTGGGAAGATTGGGTGAAAAAGGACTGGAGCGATGCTTGCTGCGACATAATTGAATGTCCAGTTCTTCTGGCGGCGTAGAGGGATGTTTCGGAAAGGTTTCTTTTCCTTCCTTTCGGAAAGTCAAGGCTGGAGAATTCTTCGCTAGAAGCCAGTTTTCGTGGGTTTCTTTCGCTTGGAACAACAAAACGCGACCGTACGATCGGGGACAAAGTGGCTCAGCCTGGTATGGTATACCAGGTAAAACCGAAAGGAATAAAAATAAAGTGTTTTTGAAGCGAGGTTTGATATCAGGAAGTTTTGCGAGCCTTAGCGAGCAAGGAGAATACAGAGGTTGCGTAAAGAAAGAAGAAGAGAAGGAAAACAGATAAAAGCACGAGACAACGCCCCTTTATATATCCAACCATAGTCCAATGATGACTAATACCTCCGCGTAACAGAAACTAAAAGAACATAACAGAAATCCCTATTACAAATTCTAATACCACTGCACAATACCTCCTTTCCTCGTTCCAGTTTATCACCTAGCCAGAAATACATATCTGCCGTTACTGTGAGGGATGCGTACCAGACCAAAAGAGTACACTACGCAGAGCTCAGAGTTCGGCTAACAGCTACAAAGGTAGAAGTCTCCAAGGTCTCTTCAGTCGACGTTGAGTATGATTCTCCTTGATCCGATACGGGCCCCGCGAGCTACGTTATCAACAAAGATTCACTAGAGTCAGCGTGTGATGTTCGACCGTCTTCGACGTAATAGTTCAGGTAGAGTTCGAAGTCACGATAGAATAAAGTATTTCCAAAAGTATAGTCAAATAAAGTTGTAACTCGCGTATCAACGATTTATATTGTTAAGACTCTGATTTCGCCGATGATGGTTTGGCTAGTCAGTGAATGACACAGTATTTATATCCCTCGCTTATGTCTCGAGGACCCAGTCTACTAATAATACAGAATACACTCGGGGCATGCCCGAGACCCTGAAAAACAACCAAGAACATTTAACTCCTAAGTCCGTAACCCAAACTCCTAAAGCCGCTGAAACCCCTCAACCTATTTATCCACCCTAATGCACGTTTCCCTGTCGATGTTTCTTCCCAATCGGCGGTCTGGTGGATAATCGTCAGCGTCGGCTATTCGGAGGTCTCGGACGGCAAGGCTACCTACTCAGGCCTCTTCCCACATCGCTTTCCCACATAGCAGAGTCCTCTCATGCCCACAGGTACCGCCGATAGGTACTCGGTCGGCTGGCAGCTTGCGCCGATTCGCTCCGAGCGGTCCGATCTTCGATCCGATTGATTCCAGCTGTCCCTCATATATCCACCGGTACCAAAACACTCCCCTCCGGCGGTTTGACGCTCCGGGGGTTATTATTGGGGTCGAAAACGTGTTTTTTAACTAGGAAAACCGCAACTCCGCATTTGGTCGCATATCGATCGCACCGTACCTCGTGGGTGCGAGCCGGAGTTGATAGTGGTGTTGCTATTAGTATTAAAGGATATAGGGGTATCTACTAGCATTTCTCTCACTCCCGTAAATGCTTGGCATGCCCGTAACACCCCTCTACCAGGATCTTGGTCTCCGAGATCTATAACCATTCTATTACCATCCAATCTATATAACAAGAAACTCCGTGATATGCAAGGAACGAAAACCTAAAAGAAAAACTACACCCCAACAATCCGCTTGTCCTTGGGTTTCTTAGGATACCTCATGTGGAAATCCCGAAGGGCTTCTTCAGCACTCTTCTTGAGATGCTCCCAAGGTTCCCATGTAGCATCCTCATTTTCATAACCTTCCCACAGTACTAAGTATTCCACTCGTCCCCCTTTCTTATTGACCCGGCTATCTGCTACCTCTCGGACAACCCAGTTCTGTTCTCCTTCAATCTCTTCAGGTTCCGGTGGTGGAACTCTTCTCTCAGGATCTACCGGCGCTCTGTAAGGTTCCAGAAGAGAGACATGAAAGACCGGGTGGATTCCCATTTGGGGGGGAAGAGAGAGCTTGTAGGCACGGGTACCAATAGCTTCTAAGACCTTGAAGGGTCCCATCTTCTTCTGATCCAGTTTTCCCAAAGGCCGCTTTGTTTGCACATTGCGCCGGTCCAACATAACGTCATCTCCGGCTTGATTTCAGGTGGTGACAGGGCATGAGCATCATACCACCGGGCCATCCTTAATCTAGCTTTACCTAAGCTGGCGTTCATAGCCTGCCAGATAGATTCCCATTGAGAAATCATGACCTCGCTCGCTGGATTGTTCCATTCGACTCCTTCCTTTGGGGCCGGCCAGTTGGTCCTGGGTTCATAACCATAGTTGGCATAAAAAGCCGATACTTTGGTAGACTCAGAGACCGCCGAGTTATATGCATACTCTGCCAAAGGCAAGAGTTCTGCCCAGTCATCCTGTTGATATGAACAATAACTCCGCAAGTAATGTTCCAGGGTCTGGTTAACTCTTTCTGTTTGACCGTCCATTTGGGGGTGGAAAGATGTGGACATCTTCAGCTTTACATTGAGGAGACTCATGAGAGATTGCCAAAAGTGAGAGATGAACCTGCTATCTCTGTCCGAGACTATGTCATCAGGTAAACCATGGAGTCTCCAAACTTCCTTCAAGAACAACTTGGCGAAATCTTCCGTTTTATTAAGGGTAGGAAGAGGGATGTAGTGTGCCATCTTCGAAAAACGGTCCACTATTACCCAGATCTTTGTAAACCCACTAGATTCCGGTAATTCCACAATAAAGTCCATTGAGATGGAAGTCCATGGCCGATAGGGTATCTCCAACGGTTGGAGCATACCAAACTTCTTGTGTCTTGAGGTCTTATTCCTCTGGCAGCTATCACAGCTCCGCACATATTCCTCAACATCCTTATCCATGTTGGGCCAAAAGAAGTTATTTTTCACTCGCTCTAGTGTCTTAAATTGGCCAAAATGACCAGCCACCTTAGAGTCATGAGTATCGGACAGTATTTCCATCTGGAGCTTCTTGTCTTTGGGTATACACCATCTATTCTTGTAGAAGATGTGTAACGGCAGCCATGTGGTTTGGTCATTTGAGGTGTTGGGGTACGAAGAGGAAGGGTTATATAGTGTGGTTGGGATTTGTACAGCGGGTTTCTATTATGTTCTTTCTGTTTCTGTTATGCGAGGGTATGAGTCAGCATTGGGATTGGGTATGGATATATAAGGGGGGCGTTGTCTTGTGATTTCTTGTTTCTCTTTCTTTTCCTTTTCTCTTTACGCAACCTCTGTACTTCACAGTCACGAATACTATTTGGTTCACGCTACGTCATAGGGTTTACCCGGTATACTAGACCAGGTACAACCATCCATAGTCCATAGTCCACAGTCCCCGTTCTTGCCTTAGGTGTACCCTTCGGCCCCATAGTCCATAGTCCACGAACCTCCTACGTCCACGTCTTTGCCTCGGTTGTATTCCTTGGCTTCATAGTTCCTACGCCCACAGTCCCCGTTAGACTTAGGTTGCGTCCTCTATCGCCAATCAATACAACACCACCACGCTTAGCTCTGGTCGCGACTATGTCCGACACTACTCAGGATACGCTGTTACAGCGTCTTTCAGAATTTTTGACCAAATATGGTCCTCTCCCAACGGATATAGACTTCGGTGATGAACTTACCGAAGCCCATAATCTCATTGTTGAATGTTTGGAGGCTTTCACCAAGCCTTCCGAAATCCCCGAACCCGTTATTGACACAGCCCAATAAGAGGTCATTATTGGCCTCACCAAGGAACTCGAAGCAGCTGACGAAAAGGCTGCCGATCTATTGCAAACCTTGTCCGAATGCCAGGAAGAGTCTATCGAGACTATCCGGGGCCGCGATGAAGTTATCGTTGCTCTCAAGGGCGAGCTTGAGGAGTCTAAGGCTGAAGAGGAGGAGCTTCGGTATCGCCTGGCACTACATCAGGAAAGTCTCGCCATCGCTGACGAGAACCTCGCTGATGTTGAAGATGAGGTTCTTTACATCATCTCTGTTGCAAAGGCCTGGGAGGCTCAAGCCAATGCCATCATTGCTGACCTTCGTTCTCGTATCTCCGTTTCCACCGCTACAGTTAAATCTCGCCATGTCTCCAAGCCTCGTTACCTGGCTCCTCGCGCCAAAGATCCCCGTTCCATTAGCAATTGGCGAGAAAGGCCACTGGAAAATGGGTCCCCAAAGCCGGCATTAAAAGGTCAACCCCTTTGGTAAAAAATGGCAAACCAAAGGGGCCAGCCCCGCCACCTGTTTCTGTTCTCCCTGCTGCTGCTGTGTCTGAGGATAAGATGTCCGAAGACTCTCTTGTTGTTACCTGTTCCGTCTCCCAGAATCCCGACTCCTTCGTTCCCACCTATGCTCTCATCGATACGGGAGCATCAGGTTATGCGTTCATCGATCAAAGTTTTGTGAAAAAGCATGGACTCTCCTTGGAACCCCTGAAAATATCACTGCAATGGGGACTGTGGACGTAGGAACTATGAAGCCAAGGAATACAACCGAGGCGAAGACGTGGACGTAGGAGGTTCGTGGACTATGGACTATGGGGCCGAAGGGTACACCTAAGGCAAGAACGGGGACTGTGGACTATGGACTATGGGTGGTTATACCTGGTTTAGTATACCGGGTAAACCCTATGACGTAGCGCGAACCAAATAGTATTCGTAGCTGTAAAGTACAGAGGTTGCGTAAAGAGAAAAGAGAAAGAAAGAGAAACAAGAAATCACGAGACAACGCCCCCCTTATATATCCATACCCTATCCCAATGCTGACTCATACCCTTGCATAACAGAAACAGAAAGAACATAATAGAAACTCGCTTTACTAAACCCAACCACACTACATAATCCTTCTCCCTTGTACCCACACAACTCACATAGCCAATCCGACTAGCTGCCGTTACAGACCACTCCCCCCTCTACGGCCTATCTCCTGGTAGGCTTAGGCTTCCATGGGTATCGTTCGTGAAATCGTTTGACAATATCGGGCGAATGTTCGACATCCGACAATGGCTGCCACGAAGCTTCGTCATAACCGGCATACTTAACCAAGTATTCAAATCTTCCTCGACGATCCCTGGAATCCAAAATATTCTCAACTTCCCACTCCTCCTGTCCTTCAACTTCGACCGGCGGTGGTGGTAACTGTTGTTGTCCTGGTAAAGGATCGTTTGCTGCAGACGACAATAAAGAGACATGGAATACGGGATGAACTTTCATAGAACGAGGGAGTTCCAACTCATAGGCATAAGGATTAACGATCCGCTTCACGATATATGGTCCAATGCATTTCCAATCGAGTTTCTTCGAAGGGCGTTTAGTGAGGACATGGCGTGTTGATAAGAAAACTTTATCCCCCACATGATAGTGAGGGGCAGGAGTCCGACTCGTATTGGCCGACTCTTCTTGAATCCTTTGTGCTCGGTACAACTCATCTCGTAGAAAATCTAATACCTCCTTCATCTCCCGTGCAATACCATTAGCCTGATCCTCTGCTGTCGTCCTACCATGTTCCAAAGGACCGAACGTCATTCTTGGATTTCGTCCTGAATTGGCAAAGAAAGGAGATATCTTTGTTGTTTCTGAAACGTGATTGTTGGTCGCAAATTCAGCCATTGGTAACCATCAAGTCCAGTCATCTTGTTGATAGGAAACATAACTCCGAAGGTACTGTTCCATCATGGCATTAATCCTTTCCGTCTGCCCATCCGTCTGAGGGTGGAACGCGGTAGAAAACTTTGGTGATATTTCCAGACGGTCGCAAAGAGACCTCCAGAATTCCGCAACGAATTGTGTCCCTCGATCGGATACCATAGTATCGGGTAACCCATGTAATTTCCAAACATTATTAATATACAGTCTCGCTACTTCCCTTGAGTCCGCCTCCTTTGTTGTTGGTATTAGGTGTCGCATCTTAGTTAACCTATCCACCACGACCAAGATTGCATTGTATCCATCGCTCTCCGGGAGATCGGTAACAAAATCCATTGACACATCCGTCCATGGTCCATCGGGTATTGGCATCGGGCGGAGTACTCCATAGGGTGCATTGCGTAGTGCCTTGCTACGGGTACACACATTGCAATTCCGAACATACTGATCGATATACTTCCGCATTTGTGGCCAGTAATACTCTCGATTCAGGAGTTCCAAAGTCTTCGCTCTGCCTGGATGACCTGCCGATGGTTTGTCATGATACTCTTTTAGAAGTCTTAGCCGAAGGTCATTGTCGTCGGGTACATAGAGTGCGCCACGGTAAAGTAGCCGACCGTTGTTATCTTCCGTGCATTCGGCAAGCGAGATCTTATTCGAGTGACAGACGCCGTTCCGAAGCATCGCAAGTACTTTGTTCGGGAAACTGTCAACTTGGTAAGCATTTAAAAACAACTCTTCTACAGTGGACATTCCTTCAGCGGATTCATTTGAAAAAGAACCCGCGAACAAACTTAGCTTTGAATCCAAATTTTTCCGCTTCAAAACCACCTGGCTTTGATGCGTCAACCGTTCATCCCCCTCCTTAGGTAGGTCACCCGACCTCCTAGTCAATGCATCCGGCTTTGCCCCTTGTTTCCCTGGTCTAAATTGAATGACGAAATCCAAACGTGAAAGAAATTCCGACCAACGGGCTTGTCGACGGTTTAATAGCTTTGTTGACATAAAATATTCGAGGTTCCTATGATCGCTGAGGACTTCGATTGGGAATTGTGCCCCTTCCAAATGATGTCGCCATTCCTCAAAACATCGTACAATTGCCAGGAGTTCTTTGTCATAGATTTCATAGTTGCATTCCGCAGGGGAATGCTTCTTTGAGAAGAAAGCAACTGGATGTAAAATTCCTTCATCAACACGTTGGGACAGGATTGCAGCAGAAACTGTGAGGGATGCGTACCAGACCACAAGAGTACACTACGCAGAGCTCAGAGTTCGGCTAACAGCTACAAGGGTAGAAGTCCCCAAGGTCTCTTCAGTCAACGTCGAGTATGATTCTCCTTGATCCGATACGGGCCCCGCGAGCTACGTTATCAACAAAGATTCACTAGAGTTAGCGTGTGATGCTCGACCGTCTTCGACGTAATAGTTCAGGTAGAGTTCGAAGTCGCAATAGAATAAAGTATTTCCAAAAGTATAGTCAAATAAAGTTGTAACTCGCGTATCAACGATTTATATTGTTAAGACTCTGATTTCGCCGATGATGGTTTGGCTAGTCAGTGAATGACACAGTATTTATATCCCTCGCTTATGTCTCGAGGACCCAGTCTACTAATAATACAGAATACACTCGGGGCTCGCCCGAGACCCTGAAAAACAACCAAGAACATTTAACTCCTAAATCCGTAACCCAAACTCCTAAACCCGCTAAAATCCCTCAACCTATTTATCCACTCTAATGTACGTTTCCCTGTCGATGTTTCTTCTCCATCGGCCGTCTGGTGGATAATCGTCAGTGTCGGCTATTCGGAGGTCTCGGACGGCAAGGCTACCTACTCAGGCCTCTTCCCACATCGCTTTCCCACATAGCAGAGTCCTCTCATGCCCACAGGTACCACCGATAGGTACTCGGTCGGCTGGCAGCTTGCGCCGATTCGCTCCGAGCGGTCCGATCTTCGATCCGATTGATTCCAGCTGTCCCTCATATATCCACCGGTACCAAAACACTCCCCTCCGGCGGTTTGACGCTCCGGGGGTTATTATTGGGGTCGAAAACGTGTTTTTTATGACTCCGTGTTTTGATCGTATATTGGTCGCACCACACTCCGCGAGTGCGGTCCAGAGACGACATTAGCGTACAGAGGGTATTGGAGTATCTACTGGCCTTTTTTCTCACTTCCGTAAATGCTTGGCATGCCCGTAACAGCTTACCCCCCTTCCAGGGTGGCACGTCTCGGGACATCTTCTGACAGACTATGGTTCCAGTAAACCTGCTCCACATATCACCCGTGGTGTCTGTGGAGGGGAAGGACTTAGCCCCGTAGGGTACCTCTATAGTCTCAGGCGTTGGTCCTTCACGGCCTTGGGGTTCCTTCGATGGAAGTCGCGAACAAGGTCAAGTACCTCCTCGTTCATAGCGTCCATGACTTGGTACGTACAGTCACTCATCGAATAGCCCCGCCATTTCACCAGGTATTCCACTAATCCTCTTCTGCTCTTCCGGCTTCCCACAATACTTTCCACTTCATACAAAACCTCTCCTTCCTTATCGACCTCTTCGGGAGTCGGGGGGCGTTGTTCACGGCCTGGGATACCGCTCTGTCGATAACGTTCCAAGAGTTCAATATGGAACACGTTATGGATTTTGACTTGCGGTGGCAGTTCCAGTTCGCAGGCTCGTTTACCGGCTAGTCGGATAATTTTAAACGGGCCGAGTTTCTTATGATCGAGTTTCTTGGTAGAGCGACGAGTCTTGATGTTGGTCGCATTGAGCATAACCATGTCTCCTACTTTGAAGTTAGGCGGTTCGTCCCTTTTCCGATCGTAGTATTTCCCCATCTTCTCCCTGGTATCTGTTAAGCGAGCCAGAGCGGAATCATGAACTCCTCGGATAAAGTGAGCATACAGGTCACTGGTTGGGTTGACCACTTCAGCTTCCGTCGGCCAGTTGGTTCTTGGATTGTAACCATAATTGGTATAGAACGGAGATTGGCCCGTTGCGGTGGTAACCGAGTTGTTGTAAGCATACTCCGCCAACGGGAGTAGCTCTGCCCAATCATCTTGCTCGTAATTACAGAACGCTCGTAGGTAGTGCTCGAGGGTTTGGTTGACCCGTTCTGTTTGCCCATCGGTCTGAGGGTGGAAAGCCGTACTCATTCTTATCCTCACATCCAACAATTCCATAAGGGATGCCCAAAAACTTGAAGTAAACTTGGCGTCCCTGTCGGAAACTATATCGAGAGGCAGCCCATGGAGTCGCCAGATTTGACCGAGGAATATCTTCGCTAAATCCTGCGCGGTCGTCTCTGCTACTAAGGGAATGAAGTGCGACATCTTCGAGAACCTATCGACTACTACCCAGATTTGATTATATCCCTTTGATTCCGGTAATTGTACGACAAAGTCCATTGATATCGATTGCCAGACAGAATGTGGCGTGGACAGTGGTAGAAGCGCACCGTATTTCTTGTGGCGGCTGGGTTTGTTACGCTGGCACTCGTCACATGACCGAACGTAGTCATCAATCCACTCGTTCATTTTTGGCCAATAGAAGTTGCGCGTAATGAGTTCCAAAGTTTTGTCTTGTCCAAAGTGTCCTGCCACTTTCGAATCGTGTTCTGACTGTGCAATTCGGATCTTGATACGGTCGTCTGCCGGAATGTAGAGTCGGTTCTTATAGAAGAGTAGCCCATCTTTCTCAGCGATATCCTTCATTTCCCCCAGCTTCTCTCCCTGCTCAACTCTCTCTTTCAATCCTACCCATGTCGGGTCTCCCGATGCCGCCTGCCTGACATGATCCAGAAAATTCTTAGACCAGTCAATCACCCCCTTGGAGGCAAGCGACACCACTGATACCACAAACTCTTCCTCCGCCAACTGTCCGGGCTTAAAGAACCTGTCTATCGGCTGTTTCCCAAGCGTGCCTCCCCCTTCAGGACGGTACTCCGGCCGTCGCGATAGTGCATCTGCCTTCCCATTTTTGGTTCCCGGGCGGTAAATAATCTTAAAGTCAAATTCCGCCAAAGACTCAGCCCATCTTGCCTGTCGTCGGTTAAGAACCTTGGTTGTTGAAAAATATTCCAAGTTCTTATGATCCGTGTAGACGAGGACCGTTTGACTAGGTCCTTCGAGGTAGTGACGCCATTGCTTGAAGGCCGACACAATTCCTAGCATCTCCTTATCCCAGACGTCGTAGTTGAGTTCCGCTGGGTTAAGCTTTCGAGAATAAAAGGCAACAGGGTGAGTCTTTCCGTCAATAACCTGGGATAAAATTGCGGCGATAGCAAAATCACTTGCGTCCGTTTCCACGATAGTCTGGCGATCTGGAGAGAAGTGTACCAAGATCGGCGCAGACGTAAACAGGGTTTTGAGTTTTTCGAAGGCTGCTTGGGCCGTCATAGACCAGACAAAGTTCTTAGCATCACCCCTGAGACAATCGGTAATGGGTTTACAGACCCCGGAGAAATTGTGGATAAACCTTCTGTAGAAGTTGACAAAGCCCATGAAGATCTGTACTTCCTTAACGCTACGCGGGGCTTGCCAATTCGTAACAGACATAACCTTATCCAGTGCCATGGTGACGCCTGCTGGGGCAAGGATGTATCCGAGGAACTCGATTTCGGTTAGCTCGAAGAACGATTTCTTCGGGTTGGCGACCAGGTTGTATTCTTGTAGCCTGCTAAGTACTTTGCCGACCAGCTCCCTGTGTTCCTCTCGAGACTTGCTATATATTAGGATATCATCAAGGTATACTACTACACCTTGATCCAAAAATTCCCTCAGCGCATCATTCATCATGTTCTGGAAGGTCGCCGGCGCATTTGCCAGCCCAAAAGGCATGACGAGGTACTCAAAATGCCCGTACCGCGTACGAAAGGCTGTCT